AGGCATATATTTTTTTTTTACACAACAAAAATAAAACTAAAAAAATCATACAGCACACACTAGATTTTATTGGCCAAGTCCCCATTTAAATTTAATTAACTGCCAATATAAACCTTTTTCTATATTATCATGCGGACTGATTACTAGAAAAGAGTTAGATTTTAGCTACTAATTTGATTGTTATATTTGGATAATAATTAGCAACAACATGATATTAAATTATAAAGTTTTCCAGTAAGTAGAAAAGCAAATCCTTTGGCACTAGACAATTGGATCCAAATCAAAAGTTTTGGTTGATGTTAGTGCGTTGACAGACCCACACTTGGGATAGGAACCCCAAATACCATGCATGCCGCTCCTTGCTTCACACTAATCGTCTTTTACTTTGGAACCAAATCCATGATGTGGACACTCTCCACATCCAACCCACGTAATAAAGAGTAAGTTTTTTAATCAATTCATGTGATTTTTATTTGGATGTGAATCTCGAATGTAAATTTAAACATGTCTTATAATGGAAAAAAAAAAAAAAAAAAAAAAAGAGAGAGAGTACTTCTCTATCTTTTATTATTAGCAAAAAAATAATACATAATTTTTATTTATATATTTTAACTATTTTTATCTTATTTAATGATATTTTTCTTAAAATATTATTCTTTTAATGTATGATCTTTTGACTATGCTACATTTTCTTAATATTTATAATAAAAGAATTTATAAAAAATATTATATTCTTAGTAAATTTATATAAATAATTGGTATCTTTTATATGTTTGAAATTAGTTTTTTATTTATTTTTTTTACTTATAATAAAAGAGTGTTGAAAAAGTGATTAATGTCCACTTTCTTTAAGGTAATGGAGTGCTGAACCACTATTGGCACACCGCCACTCCCAATCATCCAATACAAGAAAAAAGAAATATTATATATTTTTTAATCTCTTACACGTGTCCGGCATGGTAAATGTGAACACTTTGAACGAAAATTTAAACCTCTATTTGTCACGTGAGGAACTAACCTCTTCTAATAAACCAACCCTATTGGTCAAAAGAAATAATAGTTGCTGGTAGAGACATGATAAATGTAACCACTAAAAAATTACATTACTTTGGACAGCTATACCTCCACTTCTATCTTTAAAGGTTAAACTATTCACCTTTTATAATTATTTTCATTTTAAGTTTATTCCTATACACCATAACAAAAAAGCTACAAGTTTTAATCTCTAGGCATACATAAAAATTACATTTTAATCTCTAGGCAGAGTGTAGTTTACAATGCTATAAAATATTGACAGTATCTAACCGCGACAAAAAATAAAAAATAAAATAAAATCAAGGTGCAAAATTACCCGAAAATGAAGACATGTAAAAAAAAAATTGTACCATTTTTCACTACCAGAAAAACTTTATAGCAGTTATGTACTAAAAAAAGAAAATATATAACACTTTTGACTAGTATGATCAGAACTAGATAATTGACTTGGTCAAAATAATGAATCAATGAATTACTAGTTAAATCTGAATCACTAATTGAACAGTATAAGCATGTATAGTTTTAAATATATAATTTCATATTAACTCTACTATATGTCTAATATATATATATATATATATGAAAATTACATGATGTAGTGGCTCATAAGCTTTCAAAATAAGGACCTGGATTTTACTCCTACAACAGGCATGACAGCCAAGTCAGTGCACCGGGTAAGCGAATTTCATTAAACTTGCTCGAGTCAAATCAGTTCACATAGATAATGAAACATATCGAGTCATCTATAATAAATGATTCAGAACAATGCATCACATTTCACCAACAATGTTAATAGACTGAAACTTACATATTTCTTTTCATATAAAGACACAAAATGACAACAAAACCTTATAAATAGTTTAACCGTCCTTAAAAGTTAATACATGTATCACTTTAATCTCCAATATTAGTAACAAAAAGGAAATTTAAAAAGAATGCCATTTTCAAAATCAAGAATTTATTCGGCTTTATTTTGTCCATGAAAAGACACTAATTGAAATTATACCAACCAGTATTATCAATAAAATGGTTTTGTAATATAATTAAAATTTAGTACTCATACACTAAGTGTATATAATAATTGAAAGAGAGGACATTACATTGTCACCACCTATAATTAATGCAAAGTTTCATAATAGAATATGTAGCTTGATGAACAAATCAAATAATATTGTTTAGTTACACTTATTGAACCCCGTCTCGTAATACATCAAATCGGGTGAGCAACACGAGTTTAATATCACTGATAACTGAATAAAATTAATCCGCTTATGAATGAAGTGAAAATTATACAATGTTCTCAAAAGAGACAATCTATGTATACATTAAATCAATTACCTCGTAACATGTTCTCAAATGTAAAAATATATACATTACAATCTATTCCCTCATTACGTGCTCTCAAGTGCCAAAATATACACATTACGATATATTCCCTCAACCTCATGCATCCACCATAATCACAAGTAATGACAAAGACTGCAATTGCATGCAGTTAAACCTTAACACTACAAACAAGACCAAATCTTACAAATGGGGGAAAAACAAGGGAAACCAAAATCTATTAGGAAACTATAGATGAAATTCAACACCAAAGTTTCACTAGACAATAATAATTTTTAAAGCCCAAATTGGAGAATTTTCTCAATAATTACTTGTAAGAGAAGAAAATAAAAATGAAAATGAATTAAATATCTTCTATAAGAAAAAGAATACATGATGAGAAGCCACCATAACTCCTAAGCTCTCACAGCTCAAATGCGGGTAAGAAAAAAAAATAAAAATGAAAATGAATCAAATATCTTCTATAAAATAAATAAATAAATAAATAATACATGATGAGAAGCAACAATAACTCCTAAGCTCTCGGGTCACATGCGGGTGAGGGTTGATTGATGTAAGGAAAGGAAGTAAAGCAGTGGTGTAGTTCACTCAGAATTGACCCAGGAGCTAAAACTCATTAGTAATGCTAGCTGTAAGATCCACTGGTGCCGCAAGAACAACATGAGAAGATCCAACAATTATTAGCTCAATTTCCAATTGTATTCACCGAAGCTCAAGGCTTACCACCACATAGAGACAATGATCATGCAATTGTTCTTCAAGCGGGAAAGGGACCTATAAGCGTCAGGCCCTACAGGTACCCTCATCACCACAAGGATGAAATTGAACGACAGGTTTTAGAGTTACTGCAGAAAGGGTTAATTCGAGCCAGTAATAGTTCTTTCTCTAGCCCAGTCATCTTGGTAAAGAAAAAGGACAATTCATGGAGGATGTGTGGATTACAGGGCTCTAAATAATGTTACAATTCCTTACAAATACCCTATTCCAGTGGTAGAGGAACTCCTTGATGAGTTGCATGGAGCTTGGGTATTCTCTAAACTTGACCTCAAATCAAGTTTTAACCAAATTAGAGTAAAGAATGAAGATATCCATAAAACAACTTTTCGAACTCATAATGGCCACACTATGAGTACTTGGTCATGCCGTTTGGTTTAATGAATGCTCCTGCCACATTCCAATCCACAATGAATGATGTGTTTAGATCTTGTTTACGTAAATTTGTTCTTGTGTTTTTCGATGATATTTTGGTCTACAGCCCAAATTGGGAAACACATCTATTGCATTTGGCTAAGGTGTTACAGTTGCTGAAAATTAATAGGCTGGTGGTAAATGAAAAGAAGTGCAGTTTTGGTAGGAAATCAATAGATTATTTGGGCCACCAGATCTAAACACATCATTCATTGTGGATTGGAATGTGGCAGGAGCATTCATTAAACCAAACGGCATGACCAAGTACTCATAGTGGCCATTATGAGTTCGAAAAGCTGGTTTATGGATATCTTCATTCTTTACTCTAATTTGGTTAAAACCTGATTTGAGGTCAAATTTAGAGAATACCCAAGCTCCATGCAACTCATCAAGGAGTTCCTCTACCACTGGAATAGGGTATTTGTCAGGAATTGTAACATTATTTAGAGCCCTGTAATCTACACACATCCTCCATGAATTATCCTTTTTCTTTACCAAGATGACTGGGCTAGAGAAAGAACTATTACAAGCCCGAATTAACCCTTTCTGCAGTAACTCTAAAACCTATCGTTCAATTTCATCCTTGTGGTGATGAGAGTACTTGTAGGGTCTGACGCTTATAGGTCTCTTTCCCGCTTGAAGAACAATTGCATGATCATTGTCTCTATGTGGTGGTAAGCCTTGAGCTTCGGTGAATACAATTGGAAATTGAGCTAATAATTGTTGGATCTTCTCATGTTGTTCTTGCGATAAATCTCCATATTGGACTACTTCTTGATCTTAAACCTGTATATTCCAAAATAACTTGTCAAAGGACAGCCTTTTGCTGGCAATTAAGTTATGCAAGGAAGAAGTGGCTGTTGCCACCTTCGGTTTAATGCCACACAAGGTGATAAGTTCATTCTTGTTGTAGAAAGTCATTGTCATTTGCCCCGAATCTGTTTGCACCAACCCTAATGTTTCCAGCCATTTAATCCCCAAGATTAGCCTGAAAGCCTTGTAGGCCATCAGTCCTATAATAACTCTTCAAATCCAAATTTTGATATGTTTTAGAAACTACTACAAGTCTACAACAAATTCAACTTATAATAGAAAAGGTGCTGTTTGCTTCAGTTCTTTACCAATTTCTTTTTAATTTATTAAGAGTTTTAAAGGCACAAGTCTCAAGTCTCAACCATCAAACCGAACTACGCAGCTTTAAGTTAATTCATGGTCTTATTAGTTACTACTTTCATTCAACTTCCTAAAGATGGGTTACTATGTTATGCCTAGAATTATTTCTTTGTAGAAGACAAATGTCAACAACTACATAACTACCAGTACTTTTGGAAGTTCCTTCTTTCCTATTCCTTCCTTTGTGTTTCACCTTTTCGAAATGAAAAATAATAACTACACAAGGGAAAAAAAGACAACTACATTAAAAAAATATGAATGTGTTGGAACAAAAAGCAAGCCATTATAATGAGTTTAACAAACAGAATATCAAAACATGCATAGGTATTTTTTTTAATAGAAACACCTTGGTTCTCAACATTTGGTTAGTGGCATCTACAGCAGATTGAGCAGGACCGTAACTCTTTGCCTCTTGAGCTCGTCTTTGTTTCATTTCCTACAGATGAGCATTTTAACAAAATTGAAAAAATTATTACGTTGAAAAACATTTCACAGCTTATGCAGCATTAATGTACGATGACAGGAAAAATTTAAACTAAGAACTATCTATTAAAATGCACTCATTGACTTGCACAGGAAAAGCATTATTTTGAAACAAACATGCTCGAATGCATACACACCAATCACACTATGACGGTTGATTCAATTCATTTGTGACTGTTGGAAACGAGCATTTAATGTTTATTGCCCTTCAAGAAGCTTAGTTAATCTTTAGCTAAGCTGAATGTATCTTACAAAGTTCTGATATTATAATTGTTCTCTTGAAATTAGTTGTAGTCATTTTTTGTCTATGTAACCTTTCTTATTATAAATAGATCAATCTGTTGAGTAGAAAATTCACTCAGGCACATTCAGAAAATTTCCCGTCTCATTCTATCATAGTGAAACACTGACACGATCAGAGAAGAACTAACAATGCATATACAAACATGAATATTATTGGAGTATATAACTTTACTCCTTAATATTGTATTAGATATAATATTGTATAGGGTTATTCTTTGTTATTTTCTGTTTTAGTTTTGGTTACCTGGTCAATAGGTTATTGTTTCTATAGCTTCTTTAGAAGTTATTGAAACATATATAAATAGGAATATTGTATTACAGATTCAATTGACTGAAATAATACAATTCCTTTTCTCTGTTAATCTGTCTCTGTCTCTCTCACTCTTTCTTTCTTTAATCTCAATAAATAAATAAATAAATAAATAAATATATATATATATATATATATATATATGTTGAAACAGAAAATCAGGTGCACTGCACACTTAATTTTTTGTTTATATCTTGATTACAATCAAGGAGTGAAGTAATCACGGGGGTAATTGCCATTTAATTACAGCCTAATAATCAGTAGCAAATTTGTAGCCTAATAGTAGCTAAATAATATAAGTATGGTAAGACTGATATATTCTAACAAAAAAAAAGATAATATTTCATATTCTAACACGCTCCCACAAACTAAAGCAATCAAGCTTCTGGCTTGTTACAGATAAATCCATCCAAAACAATGCCAGAACTCCAAAGCCAATTTAGGATTTAAGACCATACAGGATAGAAGCCCACTCAGAAGTAGGAGCATATATAGACCAAATACAAGCCAAAACCAGCAAAACATGGTGAACTCATGTCAATACAAGTTTCACCGGTCTTGGGATAAACCATGACGGAAACACAAAAGGTGGATTCATTATACTGCACACGAGGTCAGAGACCATCTCTTTTGAGGTTGTTTAGAGAAAAAGTTAGACATACTGTAAATAAGGGAATCGGTTATTATTAATGTTTCCTAATTATATATTTTTTATATTAGGAATAGGAATCAAGCCATTCAATGCATTTGTATACAATATAATTAGACTTCCTAATTTTAGACGTACAAATATGGAATTAGAATTATTTCCAGATTATCTTCTTCAAATTCAAACACTTGTGGATACACTAACATGACTTGAGGAATATTAGTCTATAATTTCCTTAATTACCAGTCAATTTGATGATCTCTCAATTAATGAAATTAAAACTCTTCTTCTTGCACATGAATCTAGTCTCGATAAATTTAAGAAAGTTGTTGCCTCCATTAATGTCACTGAGGCATCCTCAAATTCTAACTCTCCTACATTACAGCCACAAGCTAATATTTCTCAACATGACTTGAAATCTCATTTCTCGCAGTTCTGCAGATGGTGTAGTGCTGATATTCTCGCTGAAGCCCTCTCTACAACTTGATTTTATGCCATGCATTCCAAAGTTGATTCACTCAATGCACCTCACCCTACTTGATCTTGTGGGGGGTATTGGAGTATAACTTCACTCAGTCCTTACCTATAATACTTAGTGTTGGAGATCAACGCATATCAATCAGAATCTGTTGGAGCTCAACACATATCAATTAGAATCATGCAATTCTGATTTGTACAATCCATAATAGGATTTAATGTTAATAAGATCAATTTTATTTCCCCTTCTTTAATTATTTAGATACAACATTTATAGGAAGAATTATTTCCCAAATTTTCAGAGATAGATTAGTGTGCAGGTTTATTCCCTTATATTCTATTTATACCACCTTTGTATTTTTCCCAAATCCGAAAAATATACATCATATTTTTCCACATGGTATCAGAGCTCAATCTGAATCATCCCTAACCTAGCACCGCCAACCATGGGAGAGAACAAGGCAGAAGGTTTGGCCACCAATGTGGTCGAAGGGCCTGCTTTTCCTATCATTGGTCACAAATTGAATGGCCAAAACTACCCTCAATGGGTGCAATCAGTTATGATCTTTCTTTCAAGGAAAAGGGAAGGAAGGTTACATCACAGGAGACTCCAAGAGTCCAGAAAAGGGTGACCCCAATCTAAACAAATGGCAATTGGAAAACAGTTTAGTCATGTCATGGTTGCTCAACACCATGACTAATGAAATTGGGGAAAATTTCATGTAATATATGATACTGCCAAGGAGATGTGGGATGCAGTGAAGGAAACCTACTCAAATGTGGACAACACATTTGCAGTATTTGAGATCAAGAGCATACTCCATGACTTGCGACAAGGTGATTTCTCAGTCAACGAGTATTTTAATACACTCAGTCGACATTGGCAGCAACTGGACATATATGAAGAAGATGTTCAATGGAGTTGTACCGAGGATAAGAAGTATAAAGAATTGGTGGAGAAAGATAGGATCTACAAGTTTCTATAGGGGCTGAACACAGAACTTGATGAAGTCCGGGGCCTTGGAACCAAACCCTCTTAAAACAATCTGAGAAGTATTTTTCGAAGTGAGAAGAGAGGAAAGCAGGAGGAAAGTGATGCTTGGAAAGTCAAGTGCAACCCCATCCATTGAAGGCTCAACAATGGCAGCAAGGGGAAACCAACCTCGTACATCTCAAAAGAAAAATCGGCACTGGTGTGGTCATTGCAAGAAACTAGTTCACACTAAGGACACATGCTGGATCATTCATGGCAGACCTTCAGAGGCAAAACAAACCAAAAACCTGGAGAGTAGAGGCAACACAACTGAGGTAAATTCTAACCCATCTCCATTTAGCAAGGAGCAAATGGAAGCACTACAGAAAATTCTCCAGCAAACAATTGGTACAGCTACAATGGCACAAAAAGGTAATTTCTTGCATGCTCTAAATACTAGCAAAGGGAAACCAAAGTCATGGATCATTGACTCAGGAGCCTTAGATCACATGACTGGAGACTTAACTGTGTTTAAAAGCTATTCTCCATGCCTAAATAATTACACAATTCGGCTAGCTGATGGGACTCTTTCTAAGGTCATGGGTAAAGGTTTAGCTATTATCTCACAAAATATTACCCTGAATTCAATCCTTTATGTGCCTAACTTGACTGTAATTTGCTATCCATTAGCAAACTGACAAGAGATTTGAAGTGTCACTAAATTCTTCCCTAACCTATGAAATTTCAAATTTTGGAGTTAGGGAAGATGATTGGCAATGCTGAAGAATGTTGTGGCACTATCGGTTAGGCCACCCCAATTTTATGTACTTGAAAAAAATGTTTCCCACATTATTCAATAAAAATCAGGAGTTGTTTCAATGTGAAATATGTCAATTGTCCAAACATACCCGCAGCTCCTACCTGCCTCAACCTTATAAACCCTCTCAACCTTTCTCCCTAATTCACAGCGATATATGGGGTCCATCACAGGTAAACAATGTCACTGGATCAAGATGGTTTGTCACCTTCATTACGATCACACATGGGTCACTTGGGTTTTCCTAATGAAGGAGAAATTAGAAGATTGCAGAATATTTGAGTTGTTTCATATTATGGTGGAAACACAATTTCAAAGCAGAATTAATGTGCTTAGAAGTGACAAGGGACGAGAGTACTATCACTCTGCACAAAATTCCTACCTTCAGAAACATGGAATCATACATAAGAGTTCATGTGTAGATACCCCTCAATAGAACGGGGTCGCCAAAAGAAAGAATAGACATCTACTAGAAGTGACCAGATCTCTCATGATAACAACAAATGTACCCAACCAACTTTGAGGAGAAGTGGTCCTCTCTGCAACCTACTTTATAAACAGAATGTTGTCCCAAATCCACAACTTTAACACCCCTTACTCTACTCTCCAAACCTCATACCCTACCAGTCGTATCATTACATCCATTCCCTTGAAAATATTCAGATGTTTAGCCTTCATCCACAACCTCAATCCTCGTCTCAACAAACTTGACCCAAAATCCACCAAATGCATCTTCCTCGGCAACTCCCCCCACCAAAAGTGGTACAAATGTTATTCACCCCAAACCAGGAAATTTTACCACCATGGATGTCACTTTTTTTCAGAATCAGCCTTATTACCTCCAAGTTGGCATTCAGGAGGAGCAAACTTATCGAATTGAAGTGGTAGAATCCCAACTTTTGAGATTTGAGCCGGTTGAATCTGCCCCAAATACATTGCCAACCAATACTACACCTACACAAGAGGAAACTACAGTAGAAAATGCAGCAGAATTTTTTGGATTTGAGCTAGCCGAATTTGCCTCAAATGCATAGCCAATCGAGACTGCACCTATAGTAGAGGAAATTATAGTAGAAAATGAAGAAAAGGCAGTAGAAACTGAACAGAAAAATGCAGTAGAAACCGCACCAACTGAAGCTAAAGAGAGGATTGCATCTCAGCAAAATCAAGGCCCGACTACACAAGGAGACAACTAGACGATGTACTTCAGGAAGAGAAGGAAGGGAGTAGAGTCCAGCATAGATCCAAGGAAAAACCATGAATCCAACCAGGCTCCAGAAAATGAGTTTTACCTAGGTAATATCGTTCCTAATCCTAAACCTATTGATGACATTGACATTCCTATTGCCTTAAGAAAAGGGGTGAGATCTTGCACTCAACACCCCATTGAGAAATGTGTCCTATAGAAAATTGTAACAATGGTA